GATCATCCAGGGCCCTTCATGGTGACAGGCTGTGCACTGGGATGGAGCTGCATCAGCTGGAGTCTTGTATCTGGGATGGTCACAGGAACTGAGCTCACTTGTTGCTGGCATCATCAGCGTGAGACTCCTTTGCCTCCACTTGCTCTGCTCCAGGCATCTAGGTGGACATGTCAGCCAGCTGGTCCATGTGTACAAAGCCTGCAGACCACAAGGATTCAGTCAGTGGGTCGATCTAGGCATCCTAGGCAGTGCTGCCTGAGTTTTCCTCCTCTTTTACAACACCATTGAGGATGCTCACTGCTTTGGAGACAGCACAAATCAAGTTGACTTGACTAATACCAGCAGCACAGGGTATACACTGTTGACTGCCAGTACTCAGACATGAAGTCTCCTTTGCAGAAACCACCCTTGATCAAACGTTTGGTCCACACGCAGCACCCTTCATCCCAAAGATTTTTCCCACCATCAAAACTACATGCTGATCCACCCACCCAAGCTTCCTCCTACATGCAAAGAGCCTACAGATGGCATTCCTTTCAAAACAAAGGTTCAGCACTTGGCAAAGAAACAGGATGCAATCTGGCTACTGCCGTTAAAGATAACAAAAAACGTTTTTATAAATACATCAACACAAAAAGGAGGACTAAGGAGAATCTCCATCCTTTACTGGATGCGGGGGGAAACTTAGTTACAAGAGATGAGGAAAAGGCGGAGGTGCTTAATGCCTTTCTTCGCCTCAGTCTTTAGCGGCAATACCGGTTGTCATCTGGATACCCAGTACCCTGAGCTGGTGGAAGGGGATGGGGAGCAGGATGTGACCCTCACTATCCACGAAGAACTGGTTGGTGACCTGCTACGGCACTTGGATGTGCACAAGTCGATGGGGCTGGATGGGATCCACCCAAGGGTACTGAGAGAACTGGCAGAGAGCTGGAAAAGCCCCTATCCATCATTTATCAGAAGTCCTGGCTATCGGGGGAGGTCCCAGTTGACTGGCAGCTAGCAACGTGACGCCCATCTACAGAAGGGCCGGAGGGCAGACCCAGGAAACTACAGGCCTGTCAGTTTGACCTCAGTACCAGGGAAGCTCATGGAGCAGATCCTCTTGAGAGTCATCACGCAGCACTTGCAGGGCAAGCAGGCGATCAGGCCCCAGTCAGCATGGGTTTATGGAAGTCAGATCCTGCTTGACGAACCTGATCTCCTTCTATGACAAAGTGACGCGCTGGGGTGGACGAGGGAAAGGCTGTGGATGTGGTCTACCGTGACTTCAGCAAGGCTTTTGACACCATCTCCCACAGCATTCTCCTCAAGAAACTGGCTGCTCTGGACTTGGACTGGCGCACGCTTCGTTGGGTTAGAAACTGGTTGGATAGCTGGGCCCAAAGAGTCGTGGTAATGGAGTCAAGTCCAGCTGGAGGCCGGTCACTAGTGGCGTCCCCCAGGGCTCGGTGCTGGGGGCCGGTCCTCTTTAATATCTTCATCAATGATCTGGACAAGGGCATGAGTGCACCCTCAGTAAGTTTGCAGATGACACCAAGCTAGGTGCGTGTGTCGATCTGCTCGAGGGTAGGAAGGCTCTGCAGGAGGATCTGGATAGGCTGCACCGATGGGCTGAGGTCAACTGCATGAAGTTCAACAAGGCCAAGTGCCGGGTCCTGAACCTGGGGCGCAATAACCCAAGCAGAGCTACAGGCTGGGAGAGGAATGGTTGGAGAGCTGCCAGGCAGAGAAGGACCTGGGAGTGATGGTGGACAGTCAGCTGAATATGAGGCAGCAGTGTGCTCAGGTGGCCAAGAAGGCCAACGGCATCCTGGCTTGTATCAGAAAACAGTGTGACCAGCAGGGCTAGGGAGGTGATCGTCCCCCTGGACTCGGCTCTGGTGAGGCCGCACCTCGAGTACTGTGTTCAGTTTTGGGCCCCTCGCTACAAGAAGGACATCGAGGTGCTTGAGTGGGTCCAGAGAAGGGCGACGAAGCTGGTGAGGGGCCTGGAGAACAAGTCCTACGAGGGGCGGCTGAGGGAGCTGGGCTTGTTCAGCCTGGAGAAAAGGAGGCTCAGGGGCGACCTTATTGCTCTTTACAGATACCTTAAAGGAGGCTGTAGTGAGGTGGGGGTTGGTCTGTTCTCCCACCTGCCTGGTGACAGGACGAGGGGGAATGGGCTAAGTTGCGCCAGGGGAGTTTTAGGTTAGATGTTAGGAAGAACTTCTTTACTGAGAGGGTTGTTAGACATTGAATGGGCTGCCCAGGGAAGTGGTGGAGTCACCATCCCTGGAGGTCTTTAAAAGACGTTTAGATGTAGAGCTTAGGGATATGGTTTAGTGGGGACTGTTAGTGTTAGGTTAGAGGTTGGACTCGATGATCTTGAGGTCTCTTCCAACCTAGAAATTCTGTGATTCTGTGATTCTGTGAAAAGATATCTCCTTGGTTGGGTCACACAGGGGCCTAGGAGTGACCTTGCCATGAGTGAGATAGATGGGCATGTTCTTTTGGACTCCAACACACCACTCATAGGAACATCTCTGGACAACCCAGCCCTTTGGATCTGCTCAGTCTTGGTGCCTTCCCACTGCCCTGTCCTTTTCCTGAGGTGAAAAAGCTTGAGAACAACGCTGGTAAAACTGGCAGCATCATACCCAACCCCATCCCTCATTCCCAAAAAGACAACATGCAGATGTTCAACAAAGGTGTCTCCAACCACTCAACCCTGGTTTCCAAGAGTCTCCACCACATCCTTAAAAACTCAGGCACAGACACAGTTCCTGATCCTTTCTCAGCTGTTGGATAAAGATGAAATATCCCCGATATCCTTCCCAAGGGGGAGCTGGGAACAGAGCAAAGCTCAGAGCTCCCGCTTAATGAACAAGTGGAGCAGGCAACAAAGAGGAGCATTCAAGGAGGTGCTCCCACTTGAAGGACCATCCCACCACCAAGAGCATCATATTTCCACCCAGCTGGAAATAAGATGTTAATGTGAAAGAGGGACAGTGGATAGAAAGAGAAAAGAGAATGGAACCAAAGGACTCAAAGTAGAATAGGAAGTCCCTTTCAATATGAGCCACAGGAAAGAAATCTGCCCAAAGTATGCTGACATCAACATTTTAGCAATCCTACTTCCAACCATACCCTTCTGGAAACTTCATTTCCCTCTTCATCCACAACGGAGCTCACCTGGAGAGGGACTAGAAGTCCTATTTCGCATTTGCCTCCTCTTCAGGCACAGAACAGCCCCACAGACCAGTATCAACACTGGACAAATGACTGAGACCAGCAATGGGAGCAGTGGCAGAGTCTGTGATGGTGTGATTGAAGCATAGCCTGTAGGGAAAAAGCAAATTTTCCTTCATCCAGAGCTAATCGAGGAGATAATTAGCAGTACACAAGGACAAGAAGAAACAGGCACAATGTGCACCAATAGAAATTCACATTAGATAGCGGAAAATATTCTTTTTCCACATAAGGATGGTTAAATATTGTAACAGAGACCAGAAAGGCACTAGGACCCTCATCCCTGGGGACTTTTACATTTTCACTGGTCAAGGCCATTCACAAGGTTTAGTTGGTCTCACAGTGAATGGAGGACTAGATCGGTGTTCTCCAGAGATCCTTTCCAATCTGTATTATTCTGTCATATATGATTCCAAAGAGGAGACACCAAGAGAGCTTCTGTTAGGTCCCTGTGCATCACAGCTGCCTTTGCCTCAGAGGTGGACCACTTTGGTGGACCACTCAAGGGGAAGTCAAGGCCACTCAAGGTGCCATCGGTCTGACTGCTTGTTCTGTAGAGCAACTTATTTGCAGTGGGCATTGGCAGGGCTGGATGACTGCAAAATGGTCCTTTCTGCAAACCACATCCCACAACCACGGGTTTCTTTCCTTAAAGAAACCTGGGTGACCAGTTAAGATGGAGTGTTCTGCAGGATGTACCAGATGCATAAAGGAGAGTACCTCAGTCTGGGTGGTTCCCAGGCAAGTGCATCCATTCCAGGATAATTCACTGCGTACAGATGTCCTAGAGACAACTTGCTATTTTACTGGCCATGAGGAGAACACATTTTGAGATTTGTCCAAAAGTGGATGGAAAGAGTGGAGCAAATGGGAATGCCAGGACAAGTCTTGCCAATCATGACTCTCAGCTTCCCAGCTCAGCTGTAAGGATATTCCCCATGGTGTAGTCTTTTCTCCTTCAGCCTTTCTGAAAGGTTTTCGTCATTTTTATCCCTATTGTCATGATCATCCCTGCAACTTGTGTTGAGCACATACTCAAGTTACCCACATCCTGGGATGACACTGTTGACCATGGTGCATGGTGACCATGGTGTTGACCACAGAGACCATGGATCCACTAATCCTGTAGGTCAGGTGGAGTCTAGCAAGGTCAGACTCAGCTTGTGTTGAAGGAAATTCCATCTTCATTTTCCATTTGTCTCTGCCTCCTCAGCCACCAGCAAGCATGTACTCTCAGAGCAGCACTAATTCAGCAAGGAGATGACACCTGCATGCCCAAAGGCTTTTCCATACCAACAGGGCCACCTTACCTGAGCACACCACACCAGCATCTTCCCCGTGGTCACAATTGTGTTCCCCCCATGGTTTGGCCAGGCACTCCAAGAGGTTGTCTTCCCCCCCTGTGCAGTTCACGTCATCCATCCAGATGGCAATATGCCCTCGCCCAAACCAAGCTCTGTCAGGGGCTGAGACTGCCACCCCACAGCCCAGCTGCCTGCACACGACTGCAGCATCATTCATGTCCCAGCCGTCATCACACACGGTTCCCCACAGTTGCTTGTGGAGCACTTCGACTCTCCCAGCGCAGAAACTCGAGCCATTCACCAGTCGTAGTGCCACAGGATCTGGAAAAAAAAATAAATGAATGCACTTTTTGGAAGCCTCCATCCATGTCTGCACTGCTCACAGAGATCATATAGCTAATGCATGTCACTGATTTTTGTACCTTTTATGACATTTGTAACTGAGGAACTTCTGTATGCATTTCCAGCCACTGAAAATGACATGCCAAAAAGCTTCTGCACTAGCCAACAACCTTGCAATTTGGACTCCTTTAGCATCAAAGTGAAAGCAGGCATGCTGCTGCTCTCATGCTGTTCAGAGATGTTGAATTACCTGGACCTTTGTGAAGGAGGTGTCTGATTCCTTTATTATACTGAACATCCCCAAACTCCAGAGGGACTTTGAATATTTAAAGCTAAGATGTAATTAGTACCAACTATAATAAGAAAACTTCTGTGACAGAGAAAATTCAGGCATGCTTGCTGGAAAAGAATAAAAACAGAGCAATTTGTAAAAATCTCCCTTTTTGATCTTTGTAAGATGAGCCTTTCTTCCTACCTGCTCTTAATCTGACATTTTTTACTTGTTTTCTTGATAACATCAAACTTTAAAACCCATCCTCTAGATCCCTAAACAAAGCCTTATTCTTCCCATCCCTTGGAGGCTCGGTTGTGTCTCCCATTGCTTTGCTCAGATTCTCATTCCCAACACCAGCTCAAACTCTTTCAGGATCTCCCATCTCCCTAAGGTTTCACTGGCAAGCCCAGCCACTGACCAAACCTCTGCAGAACAGCGACCTGAACTCTTCTGTGGGGCTTAGCATTACCCAGAATAGGGGAAGAGTGAGTCACCAGCAAAGTCATGCTCTTCCTTCCTCTAGCACACTCAATGCTCTCCTGAATACTGATATTCAAGAAAAAAACTTACCTGAGCACACAACACCAGCATCTTTACCATGGTTGCAATAACTCTGTTGCCCCATCCTGGAGCTGCATTCAGAGAGGGCAGCTTCTGTCCCTGTGCACTCAACACCTTGCAGCCAGATGTGGCTGGAGCCCTGCCCAAACTCAGCTGAGCCTGGAGCTGACACGGCCATCCCGCAGCCCAGCTGCCGGCACACCACCTCTGCATCTCTCAGGTCCCAGCCGTCATCACACACAGTCCCCCACTGCTGGTTGTGAAGAACCTCGACCCTCCCAGAGCAGCGGCTGGAGCCATTCACCAGCTGGAGCTGGAGTGGTCCTGGAATTCAAAAGACACATGCAGGTCAAAAACCAAGTAGAAGACAGGACCTTGAGTGGTAGCCAGGTACAATGTGATGTGAAGGCTCCCGTTGGCATAAACAGAGGTATCTAATCCCATTTGATGTGTTCTCAGGCATCCAAAGAAACCATGAGGAGGGAACAGACAGGATACAGGGACAAATGGAAGACCTACACCAGTCTGGAGTTCATTCAACATTCATTAGCTGTATCAACAAGGCCACCCTGGACTTGAACAGGAGGGGGTGGCTCAGCCACGTAGTTCACGTGGAGAAACCTGAACATCGACCTAAAGTGCTATGGCAACATAGTGCTATGGAAATACAGAGCAAGAGCCTGGCAGTCCATCAAGACTACATGGACCAAAGGTAGTGAGAAGGGTCAATGTGTAAAGGGTACCTGAAAATAGGTCTCTATACAGAGGCAAGAGACACGAGCAAAATAGAGCTATCCATAGGCTTCCCATAAGAGACACAGCAACATACTGAGTCCAGCAGGGCTGCCAACATTGCTCCTTCCAGAGCTGCACCATGAAGCAAGGTGGGGGTTGGTCTGTTCTCCCACCTGCCTGGAGACAGGACGAGGGGGAATGGGCTTAAGTTGCGCCAGGGGAGTTTTAGGTTGGATCTTAGGAAGAACTTCGTTACCAAAAGGGTTGTTAGGCATTGGAACGGGCTGCCCAGGGAAGTGGTGGAGTCACCATCCCTGGAGGTCTTTAAAAGACGTTTAGATGTAGACCTTAGTGATATGGTTTAGTGGAGGACTTCCTAGTGTTAGCTCAGAGGTTGGACTCGATGATCTTGAGGTCTCTTGCAACCGAGAAATTCTGTGCTTCTGTGATGAAGGAATGAAGGTGGCTTACCTGCACACACCACACTGGCATCTTCTCGGTGGTTACAGTTGTTGTCACCCCATGGCCTGGCCCTGCACTCAGAGAGGGCAGCCTCTGAGCCTGTGCAGTTCACATCATCAAGCCAGATGGGGTCATTCCCCAGCCCAAACCGAGCTGCACGTGGAGCCCAGATAGCTGTACCACAGCCCAGTTGCCGGCACACCACTTGTGCATCATCCAGGTCCCAGTCATCATCACACACACTTCCCCATTGCTGGTTATGCAGCACCTCGACTCTCCCAGAGCAGCGGTTGGAGCCGTTCACCAGCCGGACCTCAGGAGGCTCTGAAATGGAAAGAGGCAGAGCACGTCATCTCTTGGTGCCGGACCTGGTAAAGGAGAGACCAAGTGCCTGATATGACAGCGAGGGGGAATCCCCACTTGTTCAGCATCGGTCTAGCCTTGGAGTTCAAGATTCACATGTGGGAAGAGCAGTGACATAGAGAAGAAAGGAAAAGCAATCCACTGAGCTCCTGCAGTGTTGGAACCCACAAGCTCATGGGCAGATGATCAACAGCTACCTGAGCACACCACACCAGCATCTTCTCCATGGTGGCAGAGGTGGACTCCTTCGGGCCTGGCCCTGCACTTGGAGAGGGCAGCTTCTGTCCCCGTGCAGTTGACCTTGGCCAGCCAGATGGGACCATATCCCTGGCCAAAGTAAGCCAAGCCTGGAGCTGAAGTTGCTGTCCCACAGCCCAGCTGCCAGCACACCACTTCTGCGTCACGCAGGTCCCAGGCATCATCACACACTGTCCCCCATTGGCGCTGCTCAAGGACTTCAACTCTCCCAGCACAGCGGCTTGGGCCGTTCACCAACCGAACCACCTCTGGTTCTGAAACAAAGGAATACACACACAAAAAAAAAAAAAAACCTTCAGGAAGAGTTGGTGGAGACAAGCTTGGGCATGGGATCTTGCAAGAGATGGTGACTCTGTGCTCTGAGCTCCCTGATATCATGCCTTTACTAGACAGGGATTCCCATGAGACTCAGCACAGGTTTTTGCACTATGGGAGCTCCGCAAGAAGTTCAGTGACTATTCACTCAAGCTGAAAATGAGCCAGGAAAAATGGGATAAGCAGCAGTGATGGGATCCTCCTCGCAACGCTTCTTGGCAGCAGGAATCTTATTATTATCCCCTTGCCTTCTGAAGAAGACACATCCGTGTCTAAGGGGCAGCAGAGTTCTCCGTGAAGACAGGCAGGAGGAATGTGGCAGAGGGTTACCTGAGCACACCACACTGGCGTCTTCCCCATGGTGGCAGTTGTGGACTCCCCATGTCTGGGCTTCGCACTCACTAAGGGCAGCCTCAGTCCCCGAGCAGGTCACTTTCTCCAGCCAGATGGGATCGTAGCCTCTGCCAAACTTGGCCCAGCCTGGAGCAGAGATTGGAGCACCACAGCCCAGCTGCCGACACACCACTTTGGCATCCTCCATGTCCCAGTGATTGTCACACACACTGCCCCACTGCTGGTGGTGAAGCACCTCCACCCGCCCAGCACAGCGATTTGGGCCATTCACTAGCCGCAGTTCTGTGGGCTCTAAAAAGGGAATGAGATAAATTAATAAATATCTTCCAATCTTGCACCACCTCTAAAGATCCAAAAGAAATTTGGCACGTAGAAATGGAATAGACTGCAGCCACGTATGGCAAGTGTCAAAGGCCAAATGACTCATCTGAGTGCACACATTTCAACATACAGAGAGGATGATGACATGATGGACATGGCAAGCCACTTGAGAAGAGACATTTTACGGTGTCAGATAGAGGATTAGCACAGACACGCAAGGGTGCATCCAGATAATCTGTGCTGATGCCTACAGGAGTGGAGTTACCTCACCTCCCAAGCACTGCTGCTTGCAATGGCATCATACACAAAGGAGAACAACATGTATGCAGGGAACAGACTAAAATTAGATTCACTTTCCTTTCTGACACCATGACCTGGTCACTTACCTGAACACACAACGCTAGCATCTTCGTTGTGATTGCAGTTGTGTTCCCCCCAGGGCTCCAATCTACATTCTGTGATGGCACCTTCTGTCCCTGTGCAGTTCACCTCATCCAGCCAGATGGGAGCGTGTCCTTGCCCAAAGTGAGCCTTGCCAGGGACTGACACGGCCATCCCACAGCCCAGCTGCCGGCACACCACCTCTGCATCTCTCAGGTCCCAGCCATCATCACAAATTGTCCCCCACTGCTGGTTGTGGTGGATCTCAACTCTCCCTGAGCAATGGCTGGAGCCATTCACCAAACGTACTTGAGTTGGTTCTGGAAAGAGACAAGCACCAAATATCTGGATATCCAGGCCAGGACTGGAGCTGCCCTGGGAGCAGGAAGCCCAGTGCTTAAATCATCACAGAATCTCACAGCTGGAGGGTGAGAAGGTTGCAGACACAAGCTGAGAAGAGCAGGCTTCCCTAGGGCTCTCATCTCCTCCCCACTCATCCCACGAGTGTAACATCTGGATGAATACCACCTCTGAAGCTCCCTGTTCGTTTCCCTTGCACACATCAGCCCATCACAGGTTTTCTCCCAGCTCCATTTGCAGGGCTACAATGTACATGTCTACAACTAGGAACATTTCAAACTCTTCTTTTTTCTCCACTAATCCCTTAAAAAAAAAAAGGGGGGGGGGGAGGGGAGGGGGGAGGGGGGGGAGAGGCAGTTACCTGAGCATTCAACACCAGCATCCTCACTATGCTTGCAATTATGACTTCCCCAGGAACTGGCCTGACACAGAGAAAGGGAAGCCTCTGTCCCAGCACAGGTCACTTCATCCAGCCAGATGGGTCCTGCCCCTTGCCCAAAGGCAGCGCCAGGCGGAGCTGATAGAGCTGAGCCACAGCCCACCTCCCTGCACACCACCTCAGCATCCAGCAGGTTCCAGCCATCATCACACACGGTGCCCCATCTGCTGTCATGGAAGACTTCCACTCTGCCCGAGCAGGGGCCAGAGCCACTCACCAGCCTGGCACGGGTCAGACTTGGAGCAGGTGCCCCTGCAAACACCACCAAGGAGAAAACAGTCAGAGCCTCTGCTGGAAAACCAGCTGCTTACAGTGCTTAGGAGCAAATGATCAGTAACTTTGCTGAGCATGCAGTTGCCTACAATTCTTAGGCTCAGTTTATTCTCAAAGGCCCTTCTGGACAGTGTCTGACAGTCAGGGTATACCCATGAAGGGTTTATTCCCTGTGAAGTCAGGAGATGTTGAAGCTGAGAAATAGTCAGGGGAATGCAGACTCCATGACAGATGTAAAGAGGTCTTGAATCCAAGAATAACATTTGGAAGTTATCTGGAGCAAGTGTGAAGAGTGTGAATTCTTTGCAAAATCATGTGAGGGAAGTAATTCTGCCTACCTGTAGGGGCAGGATTCAGCTCAAAATCTGTGAGCCAGGTGCCAACACTCACAGCACAATCAGAGGACACCCAGCCAACAACATCATCTGGGGGTGACAAGAGGTCCATCTCTTCCTAAAATAGGTGCTGATGGAGAACTGAGTGCTCCAGCAAATGCTGCTTTAGGATGGCATGACTTATGTCCCAACACTTTTAACCATATTGATTAGACCTCATTATAACAGTGCACTGCACTGTTCCAAAGCAGATGACTGCAGACAGGGATATTCAGAGAGGTGAACTCAAGCCATAGATATAAGGAAGACATTCTGTACTATGGGACTGGTGAAACACTGGAGCAGCTTTCCTGAAGAGGAGGTGGATGCCCCCAAGAGGAAATCTTTAAGGTCAGATTGGCTGGAGCCCTGAGAAATCGGATGTAGTGAAGGGTTACCCTGCCCATGTCAGGAGGGTTGGATCTTTAAAAGTCCCTTCCAACCCAAACCACTCTATAATTCTGATCTGGCACCCATTGGAAACAACGGTGTGAGACAGAAACCTGTCTTCTAAGACTGACCTTGCATGGTCCATGGGGCTGCTTTGTGATCAGGACCACCTGACATTAGCAGCACATCTTCCTAGGATGAACAGTAGTTGTCCTGCCCATAATTTCATCCCTCAGCTGTCTCCAGCAGTTGTTGCAGAACCAAATAACAGAACGGTTTAGGTTGGAAGGGACCTCTGGAGGTCATCTGGTCCAAGACGCGGTACGAGCCAGACTCACCCGAGCACACAATGCTGACGTCTTCCCCATGCCCACAGTTGTGATCTCCCCAGGGCCGTGCCCGGCACTCAGAAAGAGCAGCTTCTGTCCCGCTGCACTGCACATTGTCCAGCCAGATGGGGTCTTCTCCTCGCCCATACCGAGCCCCGCCAACAGCAGACAGGCCCATCCCACAGCCCAGCTGCCGGCACACCACACGGGCTTCCGCGAGGCTCCAGTGGTCGTCACACACCGTCCCCCAGGTGCCATTGTAAAACACCTCCAGTCGCCCCGTGCAGGGGTCAGGGCCATTCACAAGTCTTATTTGGGCAGGACTTGATGCTGGCAATGAGGGAGAGCAAAGGGAAGGAAAAGTTAGTAGGAAATCTTCAAAAAAAAAATGCTAAGGAGCATCTTGACGGTCTCTACCTGTTGGCTGAAAGGAATAGGGATGAACCAGCAAGAGAAGGACACAAGCACTTATAACTTTATTATCATAATTTTGGCAAGGACACGTGACAGATAGCCCTTGAGCAAACCCCAGGCTGTTCCACCTACTGACAGGTGAAAATATGGTCCCTCAAAACAAGGAAAACCAAAATACATTTAGACCAATTTTTTCAAGTGAACAGGCTTCAGGATGAATTTACATTACTCAAAATAAATAAATAAATAAATAAAAATAATATTTTTTTTAAAAAAAAGTAGCGAATACTTGAATTGCAGGCACTTTGTTGGAGCAATTTTGAGTGAGGCTGTGCACTCAGAGCACCATGGGCCAGAAATGTTGCATTCACAAATCTCGGTTGGCTTTATTGAATGAACAGCCTTACCACAGCATAAGGAACAGAAGAGGTCCTTTATTTTCCTTTATTTCTGCAAACCCCTATCCTGCTTCCTCAGATCAGTCTGGCCCAAGCAGATCAACCCCACACCATTTACTACCCCTCATTTCCAATTCCCCCTCTTTTTTTTCAGCCATTCAAGCTCTACAACACATAGTTGACACTACTGAGAAGGCAGCACCGCACTCACTCACCACACTTGATTTCTATACCTTTCCCAATTTTTACTTGGCTCCCTCTGCCATCCCTTTGCAATTCACTGTTTTCTTCTGATCATCAATGTATGATGAGGGCAGCTGGGCAGCACTCCTCTCCATTCCCAGTAGGTTGTTTTCTCATTCCTAATTTGCCACGTGACTCTACCACTATAAAAATTTCTCCCACTTTGTGACATCCACCTTCTAGAAGGTATCAGCACTTCTGAGGAAAACTCAAGCCTTCTGCAGCAACCAGCTGGAAGAGAGCTGCCCTTGGCAGGAGGGCTTGGGAGTTCTGCATCTATGCCACTTCCAGCAGCGTCCACAAAGCCCATGCAGGTTGCTCTAGACAAGTACCTTATAACGATAATTAAGCTGCACAGAAATGAAGAGAAGCAGCAACCCAACATGGTGTTTCTGAAAACATAGACTGCAGCCAGCACAGGGAGGAGACTGCACAAGGCACTCACCACACAGCCCTGCTAGGATGAGGACGACCTCTGCAGTCCCAAGCCCAGCGCGAGCAGACAGCCTCTCACCCATGGGTGCTTCATCCAGCAGCAGCAGAATTTTTGAGAAGTTGTTACCAGTCCAGCAGGAATAAAGGAGGAGGTGGCTCAGCAGGGGCTGAGCTCAGGTCCACCCTTACCAGCTGGGGAGGAAATATAGCAAAGACCGATAGAGGCAGCTACAGGAGGATGCTTCCCACACTGCTCCTCCCTGCTGCTTGTTCCTCCCATCCCTGCTTGCACTTGCAGCACATGGAGCCAAGTTTCTGAGGGGGAACCGAATCTGCTTTCAGCTTGACCCTTGGTGATGAGCAAACATGCTCTGGGAGCAGACACTGTGGGCACTTTGGAGATGTCCTATGGGTACATTTCACAAGAGGACAAGAGAGAGGGGACAGGAAGGACTGGGAGAGTTGCAGCGCTTGGGTACAGTCTTAGCTTAGGTCCAGCATAACAACCTACCCCCTCTGTAACATATGATGTTGCACAGGGGGAGGTTTAGGTTGGATATGGGGAGAACTTTCTTTACTTAAAGGGTTGTGGACCTTTGGAACTGGCTGCCCAGGGAAGCTGTTGAGTCACCATCCTTGTAGGTACTCAAAAGACATGTAGAGATGGTGCCTGGGGACCTGCTGGACCTCCTTTGGTGGTAGACTTGACAGTGTTAGGCTAACAGTTGGATTTAGAGGGTTTTTACAAACTAAATGCTTATATGAATTTAAATGTGGGTTGTGAGGCTCCTCCTGGCCTGCAGACATGCCCATGTCCATGCCCTGGACCTGCAGCCACCACCCTCCTGTGGCCCTGCCATCATTCCCAACTTCCTCAAAATAAACCAACAAATACATAAATAAATGAAAATCCTTGTATTGGGCTTCCACATCAAGGGTTTGGTAGCACGGGGGAGCTGCAGGGGTGGCCTCTGTGAGAAAAGACCAGAAGCTGCCCCATGTTAGAGACAAGCCAGTTCCAGACAGGTTGAAAAGGGACAGCAGAAGCTATGAGATAAAGTGAGAGAGAAAGAACCCTGCAGGCACCCAGGTCAGTGAAGAAGGAGGGCAGGAGGGGCTCCAGGAGCCAGAGCAGAAGCTGCATCATGATTCTAGGATTCTAGGATTGCAAGTGGCTAAGAAGAACTTCATATGGAGGATGGAAGACAAAAAAGCTCCTTCTGCCAAATACTTGTTCCCTAGCTGTTAAAATAAATAAATAAATAAATAAATAAATAAATAAATAAATAAATAAATATCTGTTACTAGGGTATGATTTCTTGATACCTAAAAAATATTGGAAAATTAAGCCATAACTTGCTGTGCCCACTTAGCTTACAGGACACACTGGTATTTGCTCAGCATCCTCTTGCATTCCCACTCCTTCCGTGATGTCCTAAGTAGTGTGAGCAGCTCCCTTGGGGCTTCTTACAATCGTGATAACAAAACAGCCAGCCTCTGGTGCTTACACTGAATTTCCCAGAGCTGTGCATCTGCATATTTTTGGATGCAGCTTCCTGCAGTGTGTGGAGCTTGTGTGTTCACAGAATCACAGAATGGCCAAAACTCAACGTGGGATATGACGTAGTTGAAAGGGTTGGAAAACATGATGACCATGGTGGACTTGCCACAGAATCACAGAATGGCTGAGGTTGGAAGGGGCCTCTGAAGGTCATCTAGCCTGACCTTCTGCTGCGCAGGATCACCTAGAGCATATCACCTCCCTTGAGCTGCTGGCAACCCTCTTCTAAATGCACCCCGGCATCTCCTAGGACTTTTTGGCCACAAGGGAACATTCATGGTCAGCTTTCTGTCCATCAGGATGCCCAGGTCCCTCTCTGCAGAGCATTACCCAGCAACAGAGGGTAATAGTCTGACTCGTGGACATCGTTTGTCAGTCTTTCCAAACCACCTTGTATCCAAGCATGGATATATCTTATATCCATATACGATATTTAGGCTTGACATAAGGAGGGGGTTCTTCACAGAGAGGGTGGTTGCACACTGGAACAGGCTCTCCAGGGAAGTGGTCACTGCACCGAGCCTGTCTGAATTTAAGAAGAGATTGGACTGTGCACTTAGTCACATGGTCTGAACTTTTGGATAGACCTGTGCAGTGTCAAGAGTTGGACTTGATGATCCTTAAGGGTCCCTTCCAACTCAGGATATTCTATGATTCTATGATTCTATGATATATCCATATATCTATATATATCTTCATATCCACAGCCTGAAGCATGGAGTCCCCCACAGAAATCACCCACCGCTTCTTCTGGGCATTCCCACAAGGTGCAGGGCCTGTCGGCCCATCTGCCTCACTTGAAGTCTTGCCCAGCTCTTCCTCAGTTGTCTCGGTTGAGACCTCTGGCAGCCGATGCAGTAACTCCAGCAGCTGCTGGGAATACACCCTGCAACTTAATGGCCATGCCTGAGGAAGCGTACACTGAGATGAGGAAGATGCTAAAACTCATCTGAATTAATATTTAGCTACATATATGGTAAAATATCCTGATTATCGGGGAATGTAGATGAGAAACTTATGAGAAGCAGATGTAAAAGTGAAGATATCGCTCAAGGCCAACGCATAAGGGAAGGATGAACAACTCACTGGCAGAAAATAAGGCAAAGATAAGCAAAAAACTCCTAAATACTGTCCAACATAAGGTCAAAGTACAGGAAGGTAAAATGTTTAACCTCCTCTTCCTTGTTGCCTTCATCCTGAAATACCCCTGCCCTCGAATACCAGGCTACATTGCGCAAGCACAACTGGGAGGAGCTAATGGGGGGGGAGTTTGGAAATGAGTACTACTAGGAAGAGGTCCGCCTTTTCAGGGAAAAGAATGAATACGTATTAGAGCTCATGTAATATGTAGCAGTATTCATGTATAAAATTGTGAGAGAAAGCTGGGCAGGTGCACACTTTCTGAGGGAAGCTATTCCCAGTGCGCCTGGTGCACTGCAATAAAATATAACTACTTTACAACCCTATGCTTGTGGGGTGACTTCCAAATGTCAACACTGCTAGGACTGGAAACATGGGAAAATCCTGTGCCCTGCTGAGCAAACTGCTGCCTCTGTTCACTGTGCTCTTGTGCTGCTTCGTGCATGCAAATACCATGCGGTGTCACTCCTGAAGAGGGCACTCACTGTGCAGGGAAGGAAAAGGTGTTCCAAATTTCAGGGGAGGACCTTATGAGACAGCCCTCCTGGTGAGATAGCACAGGCAGGGGTTGTTCATTCTCTCCTTGCAGAAGGAGAAATATAAGCAGCTCCCCCATGCTCTCCAGCATCAGTCCTTTCTGAGCACCTGATTGTGTGATGATAATTACACTTCAACTGCTCAGAGGTCAGTTTGCTCTTGTCTGGGAGGGAAGCCAGTCCTCCAAAGTGTTTTGGCTTCATCTGCTACTTTTGTTAACTCTCCAGGTTCCAGGCCTTTATCTGGAGACCAGTTGTGGTCTTGTAGCTCCTCTCGCTTTTTTTTTTTTTTTCATGCAGATAATCCATACAGCATCATGGATATTGCCCCGAATGTGAAGAGCAGCAGCCACAGCAGCCACCACCAGAGTCAGAGAATGTCATGAGGGAAAGGAAATGGGTTTGTCTGATGTGCAGAGAAATCTCCTGCTCCAGGGGAAACTGCACTAGGAGTCATGAAGGATCCAAGAATAATTTAGGGGGGGGGGGGATGCTGCATAATGGGATGCAGGTCTCAGCACAGAAACTGGTTCCCTGCATCAGTGTCTTTCACCTGTCTGCTCTCCAGCACAGTAATGGCATGGCATTTGGTCAATAGCTGTATAGGCGATGAAGAGAGGAAGGGGAGAGAGCATCAGGCAAATGTGAGGTGATGGCAGAGGATGGGCTGAAGGGAGAGAGAGGTACTGGGTTTCACCAGAGTCTTAGTGGAAACTGATTTCATTAAACACTTCCCCTGATGATCTTGACAGAAGGAAGAGGCCATGGACATCATGGAAACGTACTCTTCCCTTTCTTCACTGTCTTCTCCCCCACCTGTCTTCAGACTGGCTTGCACACGGAGGACACAGCAAGAACCTAGAGTTTCACTGCTAGCAGCAAGATCAGCTGGGGAACCACCTTTTCAGGAGGCAACAAAAGAAAATGTAGAAGGGGAAGAGCCCCTCATCTAGGCATTTGAATCAGATGGTGAAGCCAACACCACATGTAACACAGTGAACCTCGGCAAGGAGGTCTCCAAGCATCTGACACACCAGCATCACCTGCAGGGTAGGTGTTTTGCATCCACACAATGTCTCAGGCAGCAGGTGAAGGCTGGGGGACAGGGATGTGTTCCTCCTCTATGTTCCTCCACAGGAGCTGCTGAGAAGATCAGGATGACATCCAGTTTTGGAGATTCACAGGACATGAGTACCCTTCCTCTGGTCTTGCATACAGCTTTGGTAACAAGGGCAGTTTGTGTTTGATGCTTCCTTAACACATTGGAGACAAGCAAGCACCAAGAAACATTCCCTGTTCCCCTCTTCTAGGTGAGATGGAGGAGTGAGAGCTTTCTCTGTTTCTTAATGGTTCTCCACATTTGTTTGAGTTGTCCTTGGAGAGGGAGCAGAGCTGGACGTGCACTTTCAGAAACATCCACCCTTTCCACTTCTGCAGAGCCTCAGCTTTCTGCACCCTACTGTTGAGGGATTTTTTGAAACAGCAAAAATCCCATGGCTTGCTGCAGCTGAGCAAACCAAGCTACCAGGGCAACTATGAGAAATTCCCATGACAGTGTTCCCACATTGCCCAGTTGAGGAATTTAGAAAAATATTGTTACCAGCATCTGGCTTCAAGGACAAGGTCTACGTGATTGCTAATCACAAAGGGGTTGTTTTCTTGCAGGTGGGGTTGTTTTCTTGTAGTTGTTTGTCTGAGTGCTTTTGACCAATAATCTTGTGTGAGACACTATCCACCCCTGTTAAGTTCACTATAAAAGTTAGGCTATTCAGGCAATAAAATGGAGCATAATCTGACTCTACTGGTGTCTGTCGTGCTTTCGGCCGTGCTTCCTGCAACACCCTACTTTCACCTCCAAGGTCTCTCGTTAGCTCCTTTTATCCACCCAAACCTTTCTCCTCCACACAGGCTCATTCCTCAGACAAGGCCTTGCCCTGCAGTTCTCAGTGCAGGCAGTGGAAACACCCCAAATGGCCCCAAAT